ATGTTCAAAATCCGTTGACACATTTAAAGGATCAAATGCTGTGCTCAGTGAAGATGACAACAAACATACGTATGAGCCTGCCTCAGAAACCTTACCTCACCAAAGTACGGAACAGAAGCTGCTCTGTTGGAATTTTAATGGTTTTAAATTAAAAATCTTGTGTGGTTTTTAAAAAAGAAAGCCATGCAAATATGTCTATTGGCCAGCTAAATGGGACCCCATGTTCTTCCACGGAGCTTACTCATCTGATTATGTAGACCAAAGTCCCAAATCACTGAAGAATTTGTAAACTAGAGATCTGAAAAGGTACTGCTTTTACAGCATTTGTGTTATAACAGCATTTCCTGGTTTATAACATGGAGAAAGGGAAAGAGAGTAGGCCATTATGGAAGTAATAAAAGAAAATCCGCCATTACAATTTTCCATAAGATGGCATAAGCATTAAAGGGCGTTTTAGTCAGTATGTCCTCAGACAAGACAGGATGATCACAAGGTCTGCTGGGTACACAGTGGATGCTCAGTCAGCACTGGTTGATTGAAAGAAGAAGGAAAGAGTAAAAGAAGGAATGGAGAGTACAGAAGATGAGGGTCTAAGACCCTTGTGACAGGAAGTTACCCCAGCGATGTGAAGATGGAATATATAACCATCGGCATGACTTGAGAAGAATCTTAAAAACATACATAATTCATGAAACTGCTGTTGAACATATTTAAAGAATTTCATACCTGGAAATGTCTTCATATTCAATATTTTTCAAGTGGTTACATTCCATATGTCCTACCATCAATGAAGATGTACTCAATATTAGAGTGTCTTTGCAGCTTCTTTTGCTATTCGTGCGTTTATTAGTGATGCAGAGACATGGTTGGAACATTCCCTAGCAGTACCTCCCTAGAGTAGAACCTTCCCCATCATACTTGTGCTTGGCAAATAAAGAGCACGGCTATACCACTACATGCATGTACATTGCTTCAAAACTTGGAAGGTTTATCATCAGTTTAATTTCCTTCCCATTTGGTTTTGAGACTCAATTCTACTGGATCAAATGTTAGCATTAGTTCTTCTTTAAGAGCTAACCCATTCAAATCACTTTTGGTTGATTTTAGTTCAATTGCTGAGTTCTAGAGACAATGTGGAGGAATAGCATGCTGCATAATTTTATATTTGAAAGTACAGGTGAGATTTTAAGGGGTACACTCAACTGGGCTCATTAATCAATTGGTTTGTAAAAGGAAGGTTTCAAAGTTACTATCGCTGAGAATCATTTAAATAAGAGGGCAAGCACGAAAAATGAAGCTTTCATACCTGTGTTGCCCAAAATATCTTTAAAATATGACATTGTGAAGTCCAAACTTAATAGGACTTTGAGAAGAAGAAACAAAAAGGGCATGGGAGGGGGCGGCTGGTTTGCTCAGTTGGTTAGAGAACAGTGCTCATAACACCAAGGTTACCGGTTCGATCCCCACATGGGCCACTGAGCTGCGCCCTCCACAACTAGATGGAAACAACTACTTGACTTGGAGCTGATGGGTCCTGGAAAAACACACTGTTCCCCAATAAAATTAAAAAAGGGGGGCACGGGCATTGTAGTGCAGGAGATCTGATTCAGGTCATGACTGACACAAGCTGTGGGACTGTGATTGTCACTTAATGTTTCTAAGTCTCAGTTTTCTTACTTGTAAATGGCAAAAGTGATAATATGTAATCAACACAGAATCACAATGTTGTGAAGATTAAATAATAATGTACATGAAAACTCTTCGTAACTACGAGGAATGATGGTTTCCTATGCCAAAAACACATTGTCAAATGGTCTAGTAGCCATCCATACCAATGTGTCCACTCTGAGGGAGAAAATGTGATTTTATTTCCACAGAGAGTTTCAAACAGACAAACCAATGTCTCTACACTTCTACTTGTAGATTCAAAATAAATACAGAGCTCTTTATTTGAGTACACGCTATTTCTATGTACAGATAAATTGTGACTGGGTTTTACTCAGCTGCTGATGTTCATGTCTACCTGGTTTATCAGTTTATATCATTTTGACTGTTATCACATACAGATTTAAAAAGCAGTATGGCTGTTTTTTAAAATAAAAATCAATGGATCATGTAACTGAACCCAGGATATTCTGATAGCAGACACAGCCTGTTAGTATGTAACTCTATTTCTTCTACTACAGTATTTTGCCCAAATTTAAGACTCTTTTTCTTAGGTTTATATGTATCTGCCTTCCTTTCCATTGCTCTAACTCTCTATTTCTTGATTTTCTTTGTTTAAACAGACATAGAAGCAAAGAAAACTTGCACTTATTTTTTATCATGATTTTAGTAACTGACATAGCACTGTGGCTAAATTCTTTGTTTTTTAGAAATATGATGTCATTATGATGGTGGATTCAAACTTCCTTCCACAGAAGTTGGATAATGCTTTAGTCTCCCATACATTCTTCTAAATGCAAAATGTTCTCAACAGGACAGATGAGCTGTTCTTCCAGTAATGGGGGTAAAGTTGTTTGATGTGAACCTCTTTTCTTGCTTTGTTCACTTTCTAAACAAGGACTCACATTTATAGTATAGCAGAGTGGTTAGAATTATGGTCAAAGAAAAGAATGGAATCAACTTGACTCAGTTATGTGCAAACCAAAAGCTTGGAGTTATCAGCTTTCTGCTAAAAACACTTTTTAAGCATATCCTTAAGGTCATGTTCAAAAACAGCAACATGAGAAATTTGCCACAATAACAGCATATACCACAAACTAATTGAACTGTTTAATATGAGAAGGCTGTGTATATGTGGGTTTGGGGGTGAAGGTTTAAAAGTTAGAATTGTAGAAAGAGGAACATAATTCCAATAAACCACATTGTATTATGAATAGAGAGAGTAACTCCACTGATTCTAAACTAAATTTTGTCATATGTATATTTCCCCCATATATCCAGATCAGAATCATAGGATTGAACTTGCTGTGACCTTAGGCAAAATGAACTGTCGCAGTCTACAAGTGAGGGGAGAGAAACTAAGAGAGGTTAAATGGCTTTCCCAAGATAACATGGTAAAAAATAGCTGAGCTTCAACTTGACGTTAGGCCTTCCAATATTCACTCAGTGCTCTTTTTACTCTATCACTGTCTCCTTTCATCTATGTCCTTATATTTATATCCAAGTCCTGACTTATTTTAAAGAATGGATAAAAATTAAGCTATTAATATTTTCTCATACTTTACACCTAAATAAATAGCACAAGCTATAATGGATCACTTAGCATTGATTTTTAAAAACTTTTCCTACCAGTTGTCATCTTTTGACCTCATTTGTAAATTTACGTGCCACTGTCACAAATCTTGTAGTACATTCTGAATGTAAATATAGCATTCAGCTCTCTAAAAGAAATATTAAGATATAGTTCAAGAGTGCTTGAATGGAACAAATGTGGCCATTGGTTTTCCTTGGACAGTAATTACTTTCCTTATTTATGCTTAAAATGAAAAACATATTAAGGATGAAAATGATAAATTTTAATATTACTTAACCACTATGGGACCAGTAGATATAGGAATGCATTGCTTTACTACATTGCCTTGCTTTAGTAAATGCCACTTATAACATTCTATCATACAAATATTTCAAGGCTATCCATCACAAGAATTAAATTATGCGAGGTCTCAAGAGGTCATGAATTTGGAACTTGTTTTCATTAGAGATCTAGCAATTTTTAACAGGGTTTCATTGAAAGAAATATTTTTTAAGTCCAGTTTCCTCTCTGTCCGCAGGGGCACACACTCTGCATCCTATGAAATGTCAAAAGGAAAGAAGACAATTCTCTAATTCTGTGGTTAAACCAGGTTTAGGATCTGGGGGTTTAATGCAGTGTCCTTCACATACGGAACATATTGACATACTTCCTCCATCATCACATTTCTGAGTTCTTACTATGAGCCAGGTGCTGTACTAACAACTCCACATGAATTACTTCACTTAATATTGCAGCAAGCATGTTAGAGATGAGGAAACAAACGGAAAGGTCAAGTGACTTCAAGGTCATGCAGTAAGTCTGATTCCAAAACCTGTATGCTCTAATAGTAATAATTATAACTGTGACAACACCTAGAGCTAGACTCTATGTAGTGTTACCATGGGGCTAGTACTGTTTGAAGTACCTTCCATGTATTTTGACTAACTCATCCTACTAGTAAACCAATATTTTAGAAACATTTAATGTCTCCATTTTCTTCAGATGACAAATTGAGGCACAGAGAGTTTAAATAACCTTGGGCATGCTTACATTCTCTGTATTTATTATACAAACCTATGGAAAACTTGTGTAAGTTTGTGATAGGTTATTCTTTCTTTAAAAGCTTTTAGAATGTCTTACCTTTGACTTTTGCTTAAATTAGGGAAGGCAAAGGTGTTTGAAGAATCCAAGCATTAACACGTTAAGCGCCATGTCAGTCACTGGTGACTGACGATATACAATTTAAAAAATTATATTCTTCTATTAGGAAAACTAATTTCACTTGAATCGCTTTCACACGTTTCTTCTACTGACATTGTCACTGTTACGGGTAAAAAAAATTTTTTTAAACTGCACTGGAACACGAACCACAGACAACTGACTGAAGAGGAAGCATATCGGTGAAATCCGATATCGCGGGCTAAACAGAAAGGAAGACAAAACAGGCTTGGCACCTAACGTGTTAATAGTACAAGGTAATCGCAGGCCAGTAATTAGTTCTTCTATCATGATTCAGCATTATCGTCCATGTGTACTGCAAGATATAGTAAAGCCTCACTTTAAGCCATTTACAAAAGTTAATATTAACAGATTTGAAAACATTTCTATAGGGAGTTTTCAAATAATATTTTTTATCCTGCACTCACAAAATATTATCATAAGCATCACATGAAGAAATTACTTCTATTGTTCCTCATAAACAAGCTTTATCTGTATATTCCTTTATTGTAACGAGGAGCAACAAGGCTCCTAACGTGCCTACCTGCAGAAGCTTCCATCTGGTGTTCAGGTCTTCCAGAGTGTTGAGGTTATATGGTGACAGCTGAATGCCCAATGTGGTGAGTTGGCGAGCAAGGTCATTGACGTGGCTTACGTTCTCTTTAAGAGGTGCAATTTCTCCTCGAAGTGCCTGTGTGAAACAGTCAAGGGCAAATTAGAAGATGAGAACATTTAAGGCAAAGAAACAGACACCTGGGAACTACAAGATATCTTCTTCTGTTTGGGGTACAGTGTCAGTGACATTTGCTCTATGATAGTGGTAGTACAACAGTAAACATTTGTTAATGGGTGAATAATAATGACTCATATTCACTGAGCACTTCTTAGGTGCCTAATCCTGCAATGAGTTCTGTCCATACATAATACGATTTTATTCCTATGAGGTTAATAGTTGGAGAACTCTCATTTCACCTATGAGAAAAACTTGCAGAGGTTAAACTTTGCCCTGAGTCCCATGGGTCAAAATTGAGGAACCTGGGACATATACCTAGGTTGCCTACTTCCAGAGTGCATGGTCTTAACTATTATATTATGTATCTCTCCAAACAAATTCTGGATTGGCAAAGTAACAGGAGAAATACAATGCTGCTGGAGTCTAAATTCTACTTATCTCACAACCAGAAGTGGATTTTTTTTACCATAAAAAGATATAGTCAGTCATAAAATATTACATTCATACTTTGCACCAACCACATAATAAATCGATTCATTTAGAGATTAGGGTATTTTGTCAAGTTCTAAGAATGACTTCTTGGTCTCCTGGTATTTCAGTCCTTGCAGCGGTGACTTAAGAAGGCTCCCATGGGGCTTCTCAGCTGTCTCTAAAGCACTAAATTGGGATTCTTTGATGCAATGCATCATGACAATCTGTTGAGCAGAAGAACCCTATGCAGATATGGGGAGGATATTACCATGCATCATAGCTACCCTATTGAGATGACATTTATGGATCTTTAACATGATGCATGATGTCCAAATGTTCCAATGAACAATTTCTAAGGGACAAGTTCCCTCACTTAGGAGAATGGTTTATGTAATGTAATGTCTGTGCACAAGGACACCATCATTTACTTGGTTATATGTGCTGTTTTGACTTGCTTGATATGGGCAGGTGTTATTTCTCTGGTTCACTATTTGAGAAAAAAAACATTGTTTTCATTGACCTCATCTGTAACCCTCTGAGCGCCTCCAAATCCAACCAGAAGGAGCCAGTTATGTACATTATAAATAAGAACGACATTATCCTGTCAAATCAACCTGAATATCTGACCCCTAACACGTGGTATTGTATGGAGTATAAGACTCTTACATGGTTCTCAGCTAATATAAGACACTGTGATAATCACTCTGTTGAAATTTTAGTGTTTTTTTAAAGTGGTCGTTAAAAATTTTAAAGAATCATGGGGTTTCTTTGGGGAGTGATGAAAATATTCTGGAATTAGACAGTAGTGATGGTGGCACAACCTTGTGAATATACTAAACATCACTGAATTGCACACTTTAAAAGGGTGAATTTCATGGTATGTGAATTATATATCTAGAAAAATAAGAAGAAAGAAAAACAAAAGAAACCCTTCTGACTGACCACACACATGCAAAAAATCTTATCTGGTGTCTTCATCTTTATTCAAGTTCATGTCAGTGGAATGTCATAGGAATCATCTGAAACTAAAATTTTTATAGAGATTGACAGTAAATATTCTTATTTCATTTCCTTATAAGTAAATATATGTAATAAAAGAATCAGAATAAGTGCCCATGACGAGAGGTGGTTAAAACCCATGTATGTGAATTTATATCTCTCAAAGGAAATGATCCACAATCACTTTGTTTTGCATAATAGAAAGGTTAGAAAACAGATTTCTTAAATGACAGTGGGGAAACCTAGACAAGGACAATTACAAAATGGAACCATTCTCTTCTGGATAATAACATGTGTTTCTAGTAACCACAAATAAATATCATATGAGCAGGAACTGTAAACAGGAAACCATTGCAGAGATGTCAGGATAGCCAAGTGGAATCTGACAATACTACAGGTTAACCCTGTGTGCTAATCATCTGCCTTCACTAGCATGGCTCCCAGCCATTAAGTTGAGTATCCACCTCAGTCAAGTCATATCTAGATTTCAGCTCTCTTTGGATTACATAATCTACACGTTCAAGTGTCTCTTATTAGAATATTTTGATATTCACTTCCTCCCCCAAAGTCCTGGACACATATTTTAATCCTGCATCAATGGTTTCAAGGATGAAGGGGATTAAAAAAATAAGTTCCAATACTCATAATGAATCGCCACACTCACTCTCCCTTCCCCTCTTCTTCTTCTCCTCTCTCCCCCCACCCCTTTTTTTCTCTCTCTCCAATGTCATGGAATCTTGTGGCTTTCCCCCTCCTCAGATCTAGCAATTATAGTACAAGTTCTCTGAACCGATCTCAACTTAAGACAGACCAGGTTAGACAGCTTTCATTCCCTGTGAAACACTGACTGGGGCCTGTAACAGCCTCTAAATAAAATGTTAGAGGTACCTGTCAGTACGCATGCTCTTCAGATCTCATTAGTTGAGTTGTCAGTTGTGTGCATGACACACAGCTGACACAGCTGTCGGTTGTGTTCTCAAACCTGTTTTGGCCAGTTTTCAAGTACATAAGTTAATTAAAGATTTCCCTAACCAAAGAAATCTAACTCTAAAAAATAAGTTATTATTTCTATGAAACCCAGATTAAATACTGCGGAGAGCTGCTTGAAAAAGAAAACAGAAGGACTGTTGAATCGGATGGGGACAACACCACGTATGCAAAAGATTGAAAAAAAAATCCAAAAAATTTAGAAGGATTCCGTATTCAGAATGCTTCTCATGTTTCCTGGTAGGCTCTGTCTACATTAAAGAAAGTGGAAATCAAAAAGTTTGTATTCCCAATGTGATTTATGGAGAACTCTAATCAGTGAATCTACGCTCAAAGGAAAAAAACCTTCACACACCGTTAAAATATTGATGACTATTTTAAGATTAAAAAAATGTCTAAGACATATTTTTATGATTCCCTGATTTAACTGCCTTTTTTCAATTAATGGTTGAACTCTAGGTCCTAACTGAATTGGAATAAAGAGCATCTATTATAAATTTTTACTACTACTATTTTACTACCATTGCTACTGCTACTAGTATTATCATCAATTAAGGATAAAAAAATGCCGTATGTCTAGTTTAATTTGAATGTCTCAATTTCTGTTAACATAAATGGAGCTGCGTGGGGAGGTCAGCTTGGGGAGATAGTGTGATGGGCTTAAGCAGACTGAAGAAATTTAGCCAGTGAGAAATCACTGTGAGGGCACTAAGCACAAGAGGATGAAGAAAAGGAGAGAACTGATGGTAGAAAAAAAGAAGAGGAAAAGGAGGCAGGAGAGTGTCCATGTCAATTGTCACTTTGGCATTTGACCTAGGTTCTAGTGGCAGCTCCATACCACCTGAGGACGGCTCACTGCTTTAGGTTTGTCAGTGCCTAGAAGCGTATGTAACAATGATAGCTCCCTAAACACTGAATCACAGGACACACTATGTAAAGAGTGAATACAGGTAGCATGCCATTTAAGCGGACGTAACATTGGGTTTGACTCTATTTCAAATATTGGAGCTTTTAATAGTGCACGTATAAATTGATGTTTAAATGATCAAACACTAAACATAACATGGCCAAAAAGTACAGTTAGCTCTGAACAATATGATGTGCTATTTAAATCCTACCAGAATTTCATTAGATTTTATTCTAGTTTGAAAGCAGTGAGAAAACATTGAAGGGAGCCATTATACTGTGGGTTTTCTTTCAATCACTTAAACATCTGGAATATGTTCTCCATGAAAGAGCAAACCAAGTCTAATTTTATTATGACTAGTTTCATGCAGGCAGAATTTTCATTTCATTAAATGTTGTCTGATTATAGATATAAAAGTACTGATTTAGAATGATATATTAGTCTGATAAGTCAAATTTTTCTTCTTTTATGAAATAAAATTGCCTGTCAGATCTTTGCTTATCCTTACATAGTTAAAGATTTGTTTAAATATAAATTTAGAATTTTAGTCATCATCCACTTTGCAACAAAAGAAAGGGATTGTCTAGTAACAAGGGAACATTATTATTATTTTATTGGGAAACAGTGTGTTTTTCCAGGACCCATCAGCTCCAAGTCAAGTAGTTGTTTCAATCTAGCTGTGGTGGGCACAGCTCAGTGGCCCATGTGGGGATCGAACTGGCAACCTTGGTGTTATGCACTGTGCTCTAACCACCTGAGCTAACCGGCCTCCCAAGGGAACATTATTTTTAAGGGAGAAGTTGTGACTTGGTCATCGAGGGACAATTCTATAAGGCATGAAAGGTCAATTGGGAGGACTGGAAAGAGTGAGTTGATTAATTTCTACTTTGAGGGCCCCCAATTCCTCTGTGAAGTATGAAGCAACAGACCTGGCCTAGAATTGGTGTGCAACAAAAATTCATTGAATGTAAACAGGAATGAAGGGTAAGTGATATTAGTTGTGATATATATATATATATATATATATATATATATAAACATATATAAATATAAATATAATTAAATATATATGTATGTTTAATTTTTATATTAATGGTGCTACTGAAAGTCTGAAAAACTTCCCTTCTTAGGGATATTAAACATTCTTCCTGAAATCTCAACCTACTAATTCATAGAGGTCCTATCCCACTTACCAGGAATTCAACATTAGTAGGATCTGATGATAACATATCATTCCAGGACTATATACACTGCGCAGAGAAATTTACATTACGAATACTACTTAGAAAGTGAAGTAGTGACTGATGCGCTCCTCTCGACAACGAAACCTTACTGAACAGATGTTTGTGAACCCAAGCCACTGAAAAATGGCCTAACAAGGGGAGGTGATAGGAAAAGTCTCAAGATTCTTCATGCTCATTTCGTAGTGAGAAGCTGAGTGGTGGGGGTGGAGGGTGGGGACGGAGGGGAATGGAAATCATGTTCTGCAAATACAGGTCTGTAGTACTGGTACTGGGGCTGCTACACGTGGCTCAGGGAAGGCCTCATAGAGCCCAGGTACCCGGGATTTGGGGGTAGGTACAGCCCAGCTGTG